TCTCTCTCGGAAACGCAAAATGGGAGGGGACATGCTTTTTAGTTCTTCATTCATCCTCCATCTTCTTCTTCAATGAACTCACACCTGTATCTCCATATTTCCTTCTTAACAAACATCCTTTGAAAATTGATTTCTAAAACCTAATCTTAATATGAATCGATTTCTGATGTGAACCCTAAACCTAAAATCGATTTTTGTATATGTAGGGCTAACTAGATGAAAACCCTTTCATATCTTCATCTCAAACCAAAATTATACAGATAGATATAGTGATGATGTATTTAAAACAAATTTCTTTTGATCTGGAAAAAGAAAAAGATGATCAATATGTAGGAACAACAACAAGAACGAAGAAAAAAAATACATTAAATCTAGAAATCGACATCAATCCACATTCAACAAATCCACACATATATGGGTTGCTCCGACGAATGCTTTGAGGATAGTTTGATGGGCGGTTAATGCTCCTCCACCACCAGAATCACTGAAGCTTGGATATGAAGTTGTTGATGTGTCACCGATGGTGCTCGTTGATTCTCAGGAGGTAGGAGGTTGGAGATCTAGAGTATATGTTCACTAGTAAGAACAACGTGTCCAGGTGCTTTAAATCGCGATGGACAGATCTGAAGTAGAAAGCCCTAACTGAAGAACGAAGAAGAAAACCCTAACTGAAGAACGAAGCCGTCGTCGAGATTTGAATAAAACCCTAACTTAAGAACGGTGGCGATGAAAACACCACTGATGCCAACCTTTTTCCTTCGTCGGCATAGCCGCTGCCAGTTGGCGGCACCAGAGGCTAGGGTTTTGCTAAGGGTTCCGTCGGCGATGAGAGAGATGGAGAAGAACCAGTTCAGATCCAAGGTTGGTGGCTTCGGATGCTAGGGTTTTTTCGACGAACATTACAGATCTTCACCCACCTTCACCATGAACACAAATTGCAGGTGGAGAAGACCTAATTCATTGATTCTTCACTTTTCTTGGAGAATAAACTTTATTATTGGACCTGCGTGAAGGGGGAAGAAAGGGGGCACATCTTGGTTCTTAAACAACTTCAAATCGAAATCAATTTTGAGATTAAAACACAATCCCATTCAAGTTTTCCCTTTTTCTTTTCCTGATTGTCAGGTTAAATTTAGAAGGGGAAAAAGCATTTGAAGAGAGGAAACGATGAACGACATAACCATGGTGTGGAGAGAGAGAGAGAGAGAGAGAGAGAGAGAGAGAGAGAGAGAGAGAGAGAGAGAGGTTGGGGAATAATTATTTCTTTTCTTTCTATTTTTAAATTTAAATAGTATTTGAAAAATTTTAAAAATATAAAAAAGAAAGGAAAAGGGTATAACCGTCTTTTTAAGTTTTTTTGGACCAAAACACAGAAAAACCTTGATTTTGGACCTTCTATGCAAGTGAAAAACTTTTTATACCCTATCCAAAGTTTTTTGAATACGACCGATCTTGCAGTTTTGTCTTAAAATTAATGTATCTACTTTTATGTGGTTTAGAAGCTCTTATGACCATTTGTATCAAGTATAACTCGATTGACACTATATACACAACAAGCACGGACTTAATTATATCATAGAATACGTTAGTTTTGATGGATTACTTTTTATCCAGCGAACTTATAACTTTTTTGGAATTGGTTGGTTGTAAATACACGAGAATGTTCAATTATCATGAACCACTAAGGATTTTGGAGACCAAACATTCTATGTGAAATGCGTTAACAATTAGGTGCAAGTGATTAATTAATATGATATTCCAGGGTAAATTCCACAACAAACCGTCCGGGGCTGTTTAGTGTACTTCTTACTGGGTCGTTGACTCGGTTTTTGTTTAATATCATACTTAGAGCCTCGGACTTGGTCTTGTGATATGCCTCTTAGATTTAGAGTTGTGTGTGATCACTCAATAAGACCTTGACTCAATAAGATGTATCTCAGCAACTATAAAAAAACCCCTGACTCCCTAACTCTATCATATAAACTTTAGCAAAACTCATTAATTGGTCCAATTGAATTTACCTGCCGGGTCTGTAGAGAAGTATACATCTTGTTTTCCATTTAACAGCTTAGCGCTACCGTCTTCTGAAACGGTAAGAATTCCAGTGGAATCCAGCACTGGTTTATCACGGTTAGCAACCCACACAACAGTCTTTGGATCCATCGTATACCATATCCCCACATATCTTCTTACTTCTGCTGTTTTTCCATGTGGAAAGAAGCCCATTTGAAACTTCTTCCCAGGAGATTCTAAGTAATTAGGACCATCATTGATAAATTCCCCAGTCGTTATGTTGTCTTTAGCTGAAATACAGTAGCAACAACAACACACCAGAATTAATGTATACAAGGAGATGATTTCTGTATTCGTGACTGAAGATATCATGATAGTTTCTGAATGTTTAATTTGTACGAACTGTTTGATGAATGGATAATGATGCCATAGTGAGGACTGTGAGGTGTGTATGCACAGAAGAAAGAGCTCAATTATTTGTGTCAAAGTAATCGATTAATAAAAAGTACGTCCAACTTTACTATGCTACTACTGGTTAGTGGTCTTTGTCGCTTATTAAATATATGAGTGTTGGGTGTTGGCCAGGCTTGTGATTGAATACTATCATTCCTATTCCACTAACTTTTACGAGAGATGGCTACATGCATGAAAACAAATTAAGTTATTTTGCGAGCGTTAACGACGACCAGCGCTATAAGAAATGACATCGGTAACTAATCTATTATATTATTAAAAATTAAATTTCAATCATTATGACGGCAAACCTACACCTGGATCTTTGCCCCAAAAAGTTTATTGCGAAGAGACCCTTAAATATAGCGACAATATGTGATAAATATAATTATTAATGAAAAGAAGTTATAAGTGTATCATTGTTACTCTCTCTCTCTCTCTCTCTCTCTCTCTCTCTCTCTCTCTCTCTCCTTGAGGTCTTATGTCGGAATTAGATATAAGTAAGAAAAAATTGCAAAAATGGTCCCTGTGGTTTGCCGATTTCTGTGGGTAAGGTCTAAAAAAAAGTTTGCTAGTAAAAAACGTCCTTATTTGATGTTTTGAGCTGTGGATTTGGTCCCTGCCTCTAACTGCTGTTAGAGGCATTATGTTTTCTTCCCCATGTGCCATGCACGCGAGGGTATTTTTGTCCTTTCATTTATGGGGGGAATGCTCATCTATTACCGCGCATTTAACGATGCCCAAAAACATCAGACACTCTAGCTTCTTCCTCGTTCAATTTTCATTGACGTTCGAACCCTAAGTCAACGATTTCCACCCCGAATCTTTTCTTTAGCTGAACTGCAGTCCAGTAGGTAGAAAGAAAAAATGGTGCATTCATTATGGACTATACGTCCTTCGACGATGGGGTTTGATGCACTTGATTTGTATGGTGAGTGTTATTATAGCTTTTTAAACTTAAATTTTTTGAAATTTCACACAATATGCTAACTAC